AATGTTTTCTCGGCTCGCGAAGCTCAAGAAGAACGCCCAACGACCACCGCCTCGAACGAAAATAGCGCGAAAAGATCATACTCGCCGAGACTTTCGTTCGCCTCTCGCATACCGCGTGGGTGAACGCGTTTTAAGGTTTCGCGTATCGAATTATACGCTCGTGCTCGAGCGGAATGAACGCGATATATAGCGCGTTGATCCACGCACAACCGTTAGGCGAATCGCTGAAAATTAATACCTCGCCGAATTAGTCCGCGCTGCCCGACGAGAAATTTAATCGCGTCCCCGGTCTGTCGCCAATCGAATTTACCACCGATCGCTGATCAAAGGCGGCCTCGTGATCGCTCTCGCGATTCCTCTCGCGATTCCGTCCATTCCGTTAATGGCCGATCGTCTCTATCGAGTCCTCGATCCTGGTCTCGAACCGGTGCCCCTTAGCGTCCGTGAAAATTCCATCGGCTCGCACTCGGAGAATATCAACACTTTGCTTGCATGCACGGGCACGGTTTTCCAAGTTTTCGAACGCGTAGCGAGAAAATCCAGCTTTCTCGCGTACCAGTTAATTTCATAATTCACGAAATCTCGCAAATCCATTTCCAAAGTGGGTAAAATGCAATGAAATAAAACACGAGTCGAAATTGATAAAATTAAAAAATAGGATAAAGTAAAGCGCAAGTTCCTTCAAAGTCGCAGAATGCAGTTCTTCGCAGTTTATCGCGCAACTGAGATTACAGTCTCCCGCTTTCAACGTTTGTTCTTTTTCCGACTGTGATCACAGTCTCCCAATGTGTTAAGGATCGATTATCAACGACCCTTAGGGGCCCCCAGTTTTTCGCGCGATTTTTCCCGCGTCTGAAAATGCCGAGCAAAAATCATCGAACCATCTCGGGTCCATTAATCGTGGTCGATGCTCGCGACGCTTCCAGCCGGGCGTTTAACCCCTTGACTACTGTGGGCGCCTATGGGCGCTTAGAAATTTTGCGTTTGTGACACGGAGGACACATATGTACACTTTCAAATTTTGCGTTTGTGACGCGGAGGGTGTCTATGGACGTTTAGAAATTTTGCGTTTGTGACACGAAGGGCGCCAATGGGCACTTAGAAATTTTGCATTTGTGACACGGAGGACACATATGGACACTTTCAAATTTTGCGTTTGTGACACGGAGGGCGTCTATGGACGTTTAGAAATTTTGCGTTTGTGACACGGAGGGCGTCTATGGACGTTTAGAAATTTTGCGTTTGTGACACGGAGGGCGCCTATGGGCACTTTCAAATTTTGCGTTTGTGACACGGAGGGCGCCTATGGACGTTTAGAAATTTTGCGTTTGTGACACGGAGGGCGTCTATGGGCACTTTGAAATTTTGCGTTTGTGACACGGAGGACACATATGGACGCTTAGAAATTTGGCGTTTGTGACACGGAGGGCACCTATGGACGCTCGACGTAGTTAAGCTTTTTGACACGGAGGGCGCTTGTCTTCACAAAAATGGCGCACACGGTAACTGAATTCCTGCCGTATGGTACAGCGGCTGCGTATGAAAATCTGTCGTAGCGAAGGGGTTAAACGAGGGAAATTTTGGTCGTGACCTAGCGTACGCGTAGCTTGATAATTAGGTCTACGTGCAGCCTTGCCGATTTGCCTTGGTGCGGATATTAAATGCATCTTTCCTCTCGTCGGCTCCGTTTACATGCCAAGACCGATATTACTGTCGGACACGCTCCGGTGAACCGGATAAATACCGCTGTCGTAATTCAATTCTAGGGAAGGTCGGTAAATAAAAAATAAGCAGAGAAATAAGAAAAAAAGTGGAAGAGCGAGGAAAAATAGGAGCGATAGAGAAGAACGGGGATAAAAAGAACGGTTCTGCTTACCGCGAGCTCGCCACGGAAACGGATCGTTCCGCGACGTACGCATTTAGCCCTGGACAATGAGTAATCAGCGACAGAGGGAACGGAAGGGTGTTTCGCGAGAAAACGATGCATCACTGATCTTTTTGCCAACGCGTTCCCCGATGCCTTTTACATTGTCCGAGTCATGCTGCTCCAACTCCTAACATACCGCTTCCGGCACGTTAACGACACGTTTCTCCGTTACCATTTTCCATTTTCCCCTAAGGAAAAGCGAGAAACGACGCGGAGGAAGCAATTAGTCGACGCGGCGTGAACACACACGCGTGATAACCCTGCGACGATGGAGCGTTTGCGAGCGTGTAACGCAGGGTTGATCTCGTCGGTCAGGGTTGAGGCTGCGTTTCCGGTCGCCATTGCGTCGTAAACTCGCCCGCTCCGCGCAGATATGGCGTCTCGGGGTGGCGTGGACCAGTCGACAGTTGTTGCACTGGTAACACGTGCCCGTGCCACGCGTCACCCTAGCCGATATTTTCTTTCCACACAGGAAATTGATTCCAGTATCGGTCCTGACGTGGCCCGGGTACCAGCTGTTACTTGGCTGATGTCGAGGTAGGATAATTCGCACGGTTCAACGAGTCTGACGTCCGACGACGTGTATCAACTAGGGGCGCAGGAACGCGAGTCTATTACTTTTACGACGTTCCTTAATTTCTTTCCTTTTCCCTCGTTTTCTTCCTCTTTGCTCTCTCGTTCCGGCGAAAATGTATCGCAGGAGCAAGAATCGCGGGTAATATAGACGGATAACGACTAGCAGCGAGAGCGTAACGAGAGGCTTTACGGGCCCCGTCTATTACGGTTCTAGACGTTATATATACGCCGTACGTCATATTTCCGTGCCAGTAACACGGTCGATAAGTAGACGAATATTCCGACACTCGTCTTACCGTACGCTTTACCCGAGATTTAACTCGATGCTTGGACGGGATTCAAGCAAAGTGTCGAAATCAGCGATGCTCGTTTAAATATATTTCGGTGTAGCGCGTAGTAAGCCAACGAGCTCGTAGGTTCTCCCTTTCCATCCGCGTGTCCACTTGGTAGCAGGTACTCTGCGTTGCATGGAAGAAGTCATCTGACGAATCCCCCCACCAGTCCAACCATTCTAACATCATGGCAGAAATAGAGTAAAACGCTTCCCTTATCGGTAGAATTGATCCCTTCCTATCAACGATGTACTATGTACATATTTTTTATATTTCTGTTGCATCGTGTGATTTTTTTAAACGGTTATCTAGTACGATGCAATTATATAATTAATTTATCATAAAAAATACATCTTAAATTTTAAATCAATTTTCATAAACGATGTTAATTATTATTACTTTCGTACCTCTTTACTTTATAAATCTTTGAGCTATTGTCATCTGATTCCTTATTCGACTCACTGCTTTGTATTTCCAATTCTAGGTCTTCAGTTGCGTCTTCTATTATTCCATCTTTCGCCCAATATTCGTGTTCCAGTGTTTCTACGTGTTCACAAAATCTTTTCCAATCATTCGGTGTCGTTTCGTTTATTGCCTGGCGTAGTAGTGCTACCAATTCATCGTAAGTTAACTCTGAGATAACGTTCCTTTCAACGGATATCTTACGCCTATGTTAACGTGTCACGTTACCGAACTTGGAGATAGTAGTTTTGGAAGTGTCATAGAAGAGTGAGTATTACTAACGAGAGTATAGGCGGAGCAAGTGGAATACCCCTCTTGCCCCGCAACCGAACGACATGACTTCTTTCCTGCAACGCAGAGTACTTGGTAGCAGGTACACACCGATATCTAGTTTTTGGCTAACGCGAGTTATCGCCGCTAACCTAACCTAACACTTAACCCGCTCGCGCTTGGTCGCCGGCCAATGGCGGACGCGTGCACGCGGACCACGCAGAGGTCGCACCGATCGCGCGACCGATCTCGCCGCGAGAGGAAGCGTCGAGGAGGTAATCGGAAGTTTATCACCGCGATGCTTCTTCCTAGCGAGCAGCCGCGGCGCGGACAATGGCCCGAGGTTCTGGCTACCGGCCAGACTTCGCGTTGTCTTTTTAACAGCCTCCCCGGAGGTTTAGCCAAATTTGTAACGCGAATTTGCCCGCGCTTTGACTCTTCGATCCGTCAGTCGTTCACCGCGAGGTCGAGAAACTCTCTCTCTCTCTCTCTCTCTCTCTCTCTCTCTCTCTCTCTCTCTCTGTCTTCCCCAGACGCCGTTTTCGCCCCAGCCAGGCCACGCTGTTGCCCGGAGTTAGAGGAGAGCTGGCCTGGCTGCTGGAGAAAGTCGCGCGTGTGCTGGCGAAACACGGGCGAATCGGAAACGTCTGAGAAAAACACTCGGGTTTAGAAAGCCCTCGCGCGGAACCCTTCACAGGGGCTGTAATTCTTTAAGCGAGAGGCTTACCCCTTACGAAAATGCAGCAACGGCCAGAAGGGGTTTCACTTAACCAGCCGATCGATACGCCAGGTCTAGGGACGATAAAGCACGCGCTGCGTTCCGCGCGTCCGGTTTCCGTTGCCCTCTTCCACTCGGTTTCCAGAATTCATTTCTAATGGACCTCTTCCTCGTCTTCTTCCGAGTATCGGAAATTTCGACTGTAGTCTAGGACCAGGCACAGTGTCTACTATGACCGGAACCCCGCGGTTCCTCGCACGTTCTTATCCTTCGGTTTTCGGGGGGTACGCGTTTGGAGAGACGCAGCGAAGCGTGTTATTAATAAAATCGGAATCGATTATGCCTCGCTTGCAAACTACTCGTTGACACAGTGACACGATTGGCCACCCCTGAAGGGGTGACGTCCGTACCACAGCACCCTATGGTTCATTCCCTTTTGTGCCCTGCGCGTGTCCCTTATGGGGGTATCCACCCTCCTGTGAACCTCTCTTGTCTACGAGTCGCTAGGTTGTTCACCCTTCTTTCTATTTGAATTGCTTAGAGAGCATAGCCCGGTCCCGAGAGCATGGGCGACACAACTGTTAAGTTGCACACCCTTCGCGACGAAATGGAAAAGAGAAAAATAATATTCCTCTCTCGAGCGCGTACAACCCGCGAATATTCCGCTCTTCGCGTTAATTTCGACGATTGACTAATTGGCACGGAATCGTTGCAGGGTGGCGAAGAAGCGGAAAATGGATCACCCACGGCAGGTAGTCCTGTGGAAGAAAAATCGGCTGTAAGTAGTCCAACAGCGGAGAACGAGGCCGCACCTGTAGCAGCGGCGCCGGCAGCAGCAGCAACAGTAGCAGCAACAGCAACAGCAGCAACAGCAACAGCAGCAGCAGCAGCAACAGCAGCACCGGCGACCGAGTCGAAGGAAGAAAGCGCAGCATCGGCCGCTAGTAGCCCTACCGAGGAAAAGACAGAGGAACCCACTCCCTCTGCCCCAACTCCCGTCCCTGTCGAGGAAAAGAAAGAGGAGGTCGAAAAAGTCGAGGCCGAGAAAAAAGTAGTCGAGGTCAGTCCAGCCGGTGGTCAGTTCGTACCGGACCCGGTAGAAGTCTCCGTATTCCGAGTCCAGACAGTCGCTACGCCGTCTATCATTGAGAGGAAAACCAGTGAGGATATTCCTTCCTTGCCTCCGTCCAGTCCACCACCGACCCCCATAGATTCGTCGCCTTTGCAGCAGGCTCAGCAGGCCGCGGCGACCGCGACCGCGCTGGCGGAGGCCCTAAAGCTGCCTGCCGAGGCTGCTGACAAGGATTTAATTACACCGTCAGCCTTATCTTCCCGCTGCCCAGAGCGTAACGACCCGTCAACACCAGCCGCGGAATCTCTCGATACGACTCCCCACAGACCGCCTAGTTCTCCCGTTCTCCAACCCCGTACAGGATCGACTCTTGCCCCCCCGAGTGTAGAGGCTCTGCCGGTGGTAGACACAGACGCGCCTAATCCTCCAACCCCGACTACCAACAACGTAGAATCGCTTAGCGCCGGCCACGTCACCGTCACCGAGCTCCACGATTCCAAGATTGCCAACACCGATACGCACGATCCTCCTAGCCTTCTTCCGACAGAGCGACCAGAATCGCCATCTTGCAAAGCCAACGTCGTCGACCAACAACGCGTAAAGGAGATTCCGCTTCCCGAGAAGAGCAATCTCGTAGACGAGATGTCTACCAAAGCCGATGCAACCCTAAAGTCTCCGACGCCTAATGCAGGTTTACCCGAGAAAGCGGTGGCGGAAGTGACCGAGGAACAGGTCCCGCAACCGACCGTCAGAGCTAGCGACACGAGTAGCGCCAAATCGGTGGAAAAGGAAGCGTCGAAAGTGGTTCTAGAGACCGTGGCGAAGGAGATTGTCGTCGAATCTCCGACGAGCAACCTTGGCTCTGCGGAAAAGGTGGTAAAAGCTGTAGAGCAGCTCTCGCAGGTGACCAGAGTTTGCGATCCGAGTGGCGCCAGAGCGAGCGAGAGCGAAGCGTGCGAGGATGTCGTAGAGAGTGTGACGAAGGAAATTATCGTCGAATGCGAGAGCAAAAAGATACCGGGACCCGTAGACGTGAAGGAACGAGTGAAAGAGGAGCTGGTGGAAGAAGTGATCGAGCCGAACGAGGTTGTACAAGAAGAGATCGAGCGAGTGGAGGAAGCCGTAGTGGATCCACCGGTTCCGACGATCGACGCGATCGTGGAATCCGAGGAGGGTCCTATCCCGGCGTCCGACGAGACGCTGGTAGAGGCAAAGCCAGCCGTTGTGATTCCGGAGGACGAGGATATGCCGGAAACGGTGGAGAACCTGGTCATCACCGTCGCTGATACTTCGAGGGTAGATAGCGAACCGGTGGAAGTAATGGCGATGGTGGAAGACAAATTGGAAACGGAAACCGAGTCCGACGTGGCTATGCCTACCGAGGAGATCCTCGTTTGCGAGGTGGCGAAAGAATCGAAAGATCCGTTTGTTCCTAACGAGGCGACCTTTGCTCCGATTCAACCGGTTAACGACCCCATAATAGAAAATATCGTGGATAAGTTGATAGACGTACCAGAGTTGACCAGAAGCGAGGAGGAACCGATGCCTCCGCCCCTGCCAGAATCACCCGTGCCTATCTCTCGGGACAAATTCGATCCCGAGAGCGTGAACGTAGCGCTCGATTCGAACACAGTGCCTTCTCTCGTTGTTGACGTAAAACCTCCGATCTTAGACGTAGGAAACGCTCAAGAGATAGACGGATGCCCCCTCTCACTGCCAGAGCAGCAAAGCACAGCGCCGAACGAATTCCCGGATTTCTCTGTACCCCTGGCAGACGACGTATCGTTGATAACGTTAGACGTGAGCTCGTTGAATCTTATGGACGAGAAAGAGGCGTGTCTGACGAGCGAGACGCAGACGCGTTTCTCCTCGTGCAGACTGGAAGAGGTTCCTAGTCCCACGGACGATCTTCCCCCGGCCCCAGAGGACACGGTCCAACAGCACACAGATTCCTTCAAATATCCCTTACCACCGGAAGAGCTCTCTTGCCCGCTGAACGCGTCTGAAATGAACAGTGAGCTTCCAGTTGCCGTTGAGAACGCGCCCAGTTTGAGAAACCCGACAGAGACACTACCGATTTCGCCCAGAACTCCCAGTCCCGTGTCCAATGTCAGTATCACGTCTGGCCTGACAGCGTCCACAAAAGACTCCTCGCAAACACTGTTGTACGACGACCAGAGCAATCGAGAGTTCAAGATGGAATCGGTGTCGATAAGCCTCAATTCGTACAATGAGTCCGACATTGAATTAAAGGAGAGGTTAGCAGAGTCTCTGGCGGAGACTGAGAAGCAGGAAGAGAGCTCGGTTTCGTGTCAGTTGTCGAACAACGCCACGTCGTCGACTACTATCCAGGAGACCCATCAGGTGACTAACATGTAACACAACCTCCTGGCATGAATTCAGGCAGCCAAATACCTTTGGTGGCGCCTCGTTCCAAGTATCTCGTCGTACGGTCCGCACAAACCAATCGTCTCTGTGAATATAGTCTGAAAATATCGACTCTATATCCCGTTTCTCCCATCTCCCTATATACATATATATCAAATATTCTGTCCGGTGCTCTGTCGCTCGACGCACGCGCGAGCTATATATACACACACACACCTTCAGTTTGAACCTCCGCATATCGAATCCCAGATAATCGACCATTACATCCGATATCTCTCGACATAATGTATCACCTTGGCTTATGACGTTCTCTCGACGAAGGGTAATCGAACGAGACCGAAGACTGACACACACGCCGACGTCTATGGGTTTTTGCACGCAGAATTTCATCTAAAACGAACAAAACCTCCTTGTACTCGGCGTATCTCCATGCACGATATGGAACACATAGAAAATCCAAAAGCCACTCGATCGTGTCAGCAACATGTCCTCCCTTTCACGTGGTATATATGTCCTTTCTCTTTCTCTCTTTTTCTCTGTCTCTTACACTCTCTATTTCTCTCTCTCTCTCTCTCTCTCTCTCATTCTCATTCTCATTCTCATTCTCATTCTCTCTGTCTCTGGTCCTTAACACGCGATACCATCGAACGTTATTAAAACGAGAGGGTCTCGTCGAATGCATCCTTCGTTCTGTCGAACGTGATTAACAACGTCTACTCTGTCGCTGACAATTCCTATGACGCTTCCACCACCAACCACTTACCATGAACAACCGTTACTGCCATCACCTGTGTTGTTTGCCTCTTGGTTTTCTTGACAATATTAACACGACTTGTTATTCGAATCGAGGCGCTAAAGTAGAGCATTTGTAGCTCGACACATAGATATATAAACGAGCAAGAAAACATATTCGCTGCACTAGTCGAGAGTCCAGTTTCCGTAGAAAATTTCTTTTTCGTCGGAACGCTGTCACTAATATAACATAGCCGCTCGACTTAGACGAATTTCTAGCGTGGATCTCATTGATAGACGTAAACTTGAAACTAATTGTATTACACGCCAAATAGACGTTCTTAGAACTTAATTTATATTTATGCCATATAGAACTTATTAGACATCGATACTATCATATGCTCTTTCCGTAATTGCATCTGTTGTGTCGTAAGCATCTTGTATTGCGCATGCAGAGTTTTCTTATCCGAGGGTTTACCAGCAGGTGGTTTCCAATTCTTTGCGCTGTTCGAGAAGCATGAGGTACGATTCTGTCCGGCCATGTGTATGTGTGTGTGTGTGTGATGGGTGATATCGTCCTTTCGTTACGACTCCGTCGTCTCTACACACCTGTCGTGTGGGTCCGTCCGTCCATCCCTGGATAACGCGTGTATAATCGTTACGTCGTTGGTTTCCTATAACGAGAGATGGCCCCGACGGAATCGTCCTTTGCGTCTTTTGTCCTCGTAGCATGCTGGGATTTGGACTTGTTGCGGACGTGTCAGGTCTCCCTCTATCGATTACTCTAACGAGCAGACGTATGCGTTGCAGAGCACTCCGGAACCCGAGGCACCAGTAGAAAATAACGTGGCCGCTGACACCACGACAGAGAGTTCAGGCGAAGCTATCGTCAAGGTTACGACTCCAGCCGTCCCAAGCGAGGTACCCGCCACTCTAGTACCATCTTCCCCGGCCATCACCGAGGACGTTGCCTCGGTAGCCATGGTAATATCGCGTCTGTCCGATTTTCTATGGTTACGCGTGCTCTGTGTGTGTAGCGTGTCTCCCAACTGTGTGTTTAAATGTAGAAGAGCGAAGTTACACATGATGATCGCCGATAGATCGTTCACGCGGGTCAGCGTGGCCGATCCTGAGGCCATTAACGCAGTTTAATGTCCACAGAAGAGTAGAGAGCGAGGGGCCATCTGATCAGTGCTTTAATTAATTCTATTTTCCATCGCGAAACCGCGCCGTTCCTTCGATAATACGATTATTAATACGTGCCCCGTTTCTTTTTGTTAAAGGCTATCGAAGAGATGGACATATGCGATAAGGCTATTGCGGCGGCAACCATCGAGTGTAATACGAATGTAAGTAAACTGGGAAATATATTAACGTCGACGGACACTTGTGCTTTTACACTCTTATCAAACGTGTGATTTATTTTGCTCTGTTCGCAGGAAATTATCGCGGAAGCACGTTACCAAAACAACATAAACGAATAAACATCGCTAACCGAATTGTATTTTGGGAAGAAGAAAGTTCTTTTCTCTCGTTAAAACCAAAAAAGTATATTATATAGATATGTATATTTGGACCATTCCTGCAACTAAACAGAAAATAACGTTCTTTCGTTACGAGCAACAAAAAAGAATAAAAATAAAGGGATAAAATAATGGAACGATGTGACCGCGACATCGCGAGAGCATATAGACTTTATAGTAGGCCTATTAATAATTATTAGACGGCATTTGACGGTATTTGACGGCAGGGCGAAAGAGAGGGAGGGAGAGAAAGAGAGAGAGAGAGAGAGAGAGAGAGAGAGAGAAAG